GAAATAACTTTTTTTCTGGACATGAGCTAGTATATATTTTCAGGTTAAGATCTAATCTAACTTCAGAAAAATTAAACCTGTGACTTAATGTTTGAGGAACTTGAGTGGGCTTTTCGAGGCTGAAGCCACCAGCAAGGTGGTCTGGAGGAGCTGTTTCCCCAGGTCTGCTACATGAAGGATAAGCCCGGCTGTTAGCATTCCAGCCTGGTTTCAGCCCTCACATTCTGGTCTGCAGCCAGAGCACCGTGTCTTGTGATCGCGCTTCAAAGCAGAGCTGGAATGGGATGTCCCTAAAAATCACTGTATTTAAACGCAGTAGGAAAAGGTGGCACCGACTCCATGTGTGCACTGTACACCTCTGGCTAATTTGGGCTTGTAACCCATTTGGTAGAGAGAAGCGTTTAGCTGGAGATATCTTTGAACTGCACAAGTCACATTTTTTTTTTTTTTAAAGGTGGTTAAGAAACTTGAGTAGGCAGTCTCACGCAGGTGTAGTTTTCTTTGTGTTGCTTGAAGTGTTGTGGTGAGAACAGCAGCGTTACATTGGTTTGCTTTAGAGCTTGTCACAAGGAATTGGGATATTGGTTTGGGGAGTTGTTCCTGGGATGTCCGCTATGTGCGCTTGAAGCTTGGTGGGCTCTGTGTCGAGTGTTTACTCTGAAATCGTGAAGCCATTGATAGGATGAAGACTGGAAATAAGGTTAAACAGGGTTCCCAGGTGATGCAATTAAATTGTAAAGCAGCACCAACTTAAAGTCCAGTCCCTGTCATAAAAAAGAGCAAGATTTTTCAGACTGTTGCTGTAACTGCAGCGGCAACAGGGCGAAGCAAGGAGTTTCTACTCTCTGTGCCTTACAGTGAGTGAACCTTCGAATGATGTGTAGCGTGCTCTTTCTCAGAGTCCATTTAATACAGATTTTTTATGAGGGGGTTGTGTGTGTGTGTGTTCACAATCCCCTTAGTTAGAAAGACATGGCAAACAGAGCATGGTTTTGACTGCTCCACAGTAAGGGGAGGAGGTTAGGGGTTGTGCGTGTTTTGGTTGGTTTGGGTATTTTTTTATTTTTTTTTTTTCCTTTAAACATGATGATATCCTGAAGAGAGTTTTCTGTGAGCTGGCAGCGTGATTTACTTTTTTGGAAGTTCTGTGTAGAACTAGGAAAGAACATGTTATAATTTGTGGAGCGAGACATTTATTAGTAGTGAGAACTAAATCTAAAAGCCAGGTTTTGTCTTTGGGTCTAACGTTGCTTCTCTTAATTCTGCTTTTGAATGGCTGTGGAATTGGAGAGGAAGGTTTGTGCTCCGTTAAATGCCTGTGTTGCAGAGCTTTGTTTGAAATAAAGGCAGAAAATTTGCGATGACAAGCTTGGGTTTTATATGATTGGCTTTGAAAACTTGATACAAGTAAAGATAATGGAAAGATCTGAAAATTGACCTTTTTGTATTTGAGTGTTTCCTTGCAGCATTGGAAACACAACCATAACAGTGTTGTTCTGGTATAGGAGAACTGCAAAATTCAGTTGAGCGGTCTAGTTCATTGTCCAAACTGAGTGAAATGTTAAATATAAATGGCATTTGCAAGGAAAAAGAAAAACGTATTTTTAAAATCCTTTAATATACAGTTTTAGCAATACAGGTTAGGGAAACCTTCAAATATTGTATTTTGAAGGTGTCAGAGGTACTGAAAAATCCAGGATGATAAGGAGGAAGTGGTAAAACTGTCCCTTTCCCAATTCCTTGTGATATTAGAAACAAAAATCTTTAAGGTGATTTGGAGTAAGAAGTAACAGCAAGAAACTTACAATGAACTCCCTCTCTAACCTATAAATTTGGGGTCTTGAGGAAAAACTGAGACATGACTTTCACACCTTTTTGAGTTTTGTTCTGGTGTATGATGGCACTTTAACTTGGCCGTAGGAAGTTTTCCCTTATGGAATGTATAGACTTGTTCACAGACTTTTTGTCATAATTTAAGAAAACTTTTGATAGCTTCACCTTTGGGAATGCCTTAAGCTGATTTACATATCCTGCAATTTAAACACTGATAGTGTGAAATTTATGTTACTGTGTATTCTTTTTGTTTCATATGGATATACGGATTTTGCATTGAATTTGTTTTTTACACATTAGGGGATAAAATTTTGCAGGTTGAAGTTGTTAATGTTTAGAGGGTACTTGTTTCAAATGATACAATACTGAGCATAAGTTTCTGGGTAGATTTACTATCAGTAGCTAAAAAAAGCTGTTATGGTTGAACCCAGCATAACACTGTATTTTCATATGACCAATTTCCATGTAATGCACACTTAAGCTGCAACTTTTTGTGCTTCCTTTATGCTGAACGTGAACTTTTTTTCAAAGACTGGAAAAGAAGTCCATCTAGCAAACTTTGTGGGGAGCTACAAACCTCAGGTAGATCTTAAACAGCGTTACTGCCAGTAGTGGGTTTGTAAACTGGCTTTGATGTAACCTGGGCTTGGGAAACCCACTCTGCTCATGGTGAATGAGGCACTTGGGTAATGGCCGTTGTCAATGCCACCTTGAGTCTGGGTGGCTTTTATTTGGACCACGCGATTATAGCCTTTGAAACTTCCATCAAATACAAGCAGGTGCCTCCACTTCGGTAGCGGCAGGCAACTCTGCTTCCTGTAGCTGTTGGGCTTGGCCAAAAGCACGGGGGAGTGAAAACTGGCCTGGAGTGTTGGTGCTCAGTGCTGCTCCTAAAATCCTGACCAGTGTCTTTCCCAGTTAATCAAAGCAAAGTCATCAGGGGAGTGGAAGAGCTGACCATGAAGATTATTCCAGGGGAAAGGTCTGACACAGAAGCAAAGAATAAGATAGGGAAGGCAGTCTTTTGAACTGAAAATTGAAGGTGGCTAAAAAAGGGGAAATCCCCTAAATACTTACTGCGTACAATGTGAACGAATAAATAATAATAGTCCAGAAGAGTTGGGAGTTCCTCTAGACTTTAACATACAAATATGATTTCTCTTGTGCTTTGTAGTGATGTTTTGAGCTCTTACTGAAGTTTTTCTTAATGTAGGTTACACACTACAAGCAATATCCACCTAATACAAGCAAAGTATATTCCTACTTTGAATGTCGTGAAAAGAAGACTGAAAATTCCAAATTAAGGAAAGTGAAATATGAAGAAACTGTTTTTTATGGTTTGCAGTACATTCTGAATAAATACTTAAAAGGTAACTGTCTCAAATTCCAGTAAAACTTTACCTGTAAATAAATATCTTAATTTTCCTCAAGCCTGGAGTGTTATAGTTGAAACAATTCCAGGTTATTATGGTACAGTGTAGATAGTGACATGCATAAGATCTTATTTATGTTATTCTGAAAATGAGAGGTCCATGCTCATAAAATGGTGTTGACTTCTTAGTTCAGACACCTCTCTACTATGTTTATTTATGCCAATGGTTGATTAAAAATAAAGAGGTGTTCCTATCCCCACTTCAGTGGGCTAAATTGAAATGTATGGAAATAGAGCAAGGCTGTGCACAGAATCACAAGAAGATACAAGATTCGAGGGGAAAATGCATTTCACATTTTGAATGTGAACTTCAGTCTGTATTTGCTGGTTTATTTACTGTGTAAACTAATAATGGTTTTAATGTCCCTTAAATTTTGGTTCTCACTCACCTTAGATCATTGAATATGGCAGCTACGTGTGAAAGTGTTTTCAATATTGACAATTTTAAAAGTAACATCTGAAAATTCCTTTAAGATTTTGTTTGCTTTCTTGCATTATGTGCAAATATCACCTGTTCTGACCTAAATGCAAGTTGCCTCCTGCCAAGCTTTAGGAGAACTTCAGTCACGTGGCTTACATATCTTTGTCTTGATCCAGAATCCATAAATATCTCTGCCAATTCCACCAAAGATTGGGATTCCACTATAATAAACACTTGATAATCATGCTTATTTTCTCTTCAGCAATCTGAGGATTGTTCACTTAATGTTTCTGGTAGATGATTGATCCTACAGCAGTAGCAATGCTTGCTCAAATACCGTGGTTAGCCTGTCAGTTCCTACCGCAAGGTGGTCAATCAAAGACTTGTTGTAAGGCCTCTCCGTGGGGATTCCCCCTGGAGCAGCGTAGCTTAACCCTTCTGCTAGGCTGGTTATGTCTTGCTGCACGTGCCAACTTGCACAATCATCTCATTCCCCTGGGAAAAGCACTGCTGCTAAAACTCTTGACAGGTTTTTGACCTTCATAAAAGAGTAATAATCTCAAATTGTTCCTGAGTCACCTGCAAACCACAAGCGTATTTTATCCTGTTGGTTTCTTGAGCATCCTAATCTATATAACAAATGGAAGGAAAATTGGTTTTCACATAGCTAGTACACTGCATTTGACACATTCTCCATGTCTTTGTTGGAGGCAAAGTGACTTTTCTGTGTCTGAACCTTTTTGTTATTTATTTTATAAATTGATGAATACTGTAAGTTTCTAAGCTTTCATCTGTTTCTGAAACCACAGGTAAAGTGGTGACCAAAGAGAAAATCAAGGAAGCCAAAGAAGTATATAGGGAGCATTTTCAAGATGATGTCTTCAATGAAAAGGGATGGAACTATATTCTGGAGGTAAACATTTATGGAAATAGCATGAGATCATCGTGAAGGATTTATGAATCAACTGTAGAATAAATACAGCAGTCTCTCCTTTTAACTGTGATAGTAAAGACTGGATAAATTTAGATTTTTGTGTTGAGTGTACAGGGAGTAGCAGCTGTCAAAGAATAATCATATAATTGTCATTCCTTGGAGAAAAGTAATTTTCATCCTTTCAAATGCCAAATACAGCTTTGCAGGTAATAAGGATTTATGGCTGCTCTCAGCCAGGTAGTATAAGTGGGGGCTTGTTAGCAAGTCTCCATATGTAATATAGTTGCTTAGTAGTTGCTTGCATCATTTACATTGCTTTCTCTTACTAATCATAATAATTTTTATTTTAATGCAAAAAGCATTACAACTTATTGTGTGCGTAAATAGCTCCAGAAAAATACATGTTTTGTTTAATTGTTTCCTAAATTTTTCAGAGACACTTAAGTTGAACTTTATTATGAAATACAAGGCTGGAGCACTTCTGACACACAAATCCTTCCAAATTAAGTCTTTCCACAATTATCCTCTTT